CGATATTAAGATAAAGTGCTTTGCTATACAATAAATAAAACCTTCAATGTGCAATACTCAGATTAGTTTATAAATGCTTTCTTTATTTTACAATACTTTCCTACTTGTCTCTTATCTGTCTTTGCTATTTCCAATATTTCCAAATTTATTCCTACATACATTTTAACCAGACCAGATTTATTATCTTTCCTTTTGTGTTGCCATTATTTATGTTTACTGGAATCCTGTTCCTTTAAGTACAAGCTTGAGTATATGAACAATACACTTGAGGTTTGTGTTCAAGCGCTGAAATGGTTAGGTGTAAATGAACACTTTTTTATTTTTATGGACCTTGCTATTATGAATTACTATTTGCATTACACCCACTGAAGCCCCATGTGTGTTGTTGGTGCTAAGCAACCAATTGTTTGAAGCCATCTGAACGTTAAATGTAAAATGCAACTCCCACTTATGCATATGCAATAATTGCATACATAATTTTAGCATATTGTGTACAATTATTACATTGCAATTTTTAAATGGGAGATCAGCTCTTTTTGTACTTACAAAAAGAGAGTTATTTGTTAATAAATAAATGTTATTACCTAAGACAAGAAAATGAAAGTAAATGGACCACGAATGTAACATATAATGTATAAAGTATAACATAGCAATACAGGTAGAATAACGCTGAAGCTTGTTCAAGTTTAACCTTTTATAACTTCATGCTTCTGCTGTTGATCCTAATGAAGGTACGTTTTCTAAATAAGTGTTTCCGACTCCAAAATAGTAATCAATTTTCTAGATAGTGACCAGCTATCTTAAGGTTATTCACTGGCTATTCAATGTGACTGACAGCTGACAGAGGATCTTAACATTGCCTGTATGATGCACGGTTGTTTGCGCAGTTAGCGCTAAGATTCCCTGTCACACTCATCTCGCTCAGTTCTTCATGCCGTCTCCCGCTAACATCAGTACATCTTAATTCTGCCACTGCGCTGGGCCCAATAGTGCATCTTGGGAACACTGCTGTACTGTGATAGGCAATTGTAGGTATAATAAACATTGCTAAATTGTATTTCTTTAAACTGCAGAATGTTTCTTTAATGAATAACCTCTTACCCAAATTTAGTGCATAATATGTTTACGCCATCTTGTCCTAGATTAATGCAACAATAATTCAAGGCCTTGCTTATGTCAATTTTACTTCTAGTCCACATATAAATTAAAGATGCCTAGGTCATGACAATAGACTGATAAGGCTGTTTTTCCTTTAATTTCATATGTGAACTACTTTTAACCCTAAGATTTATAATTAACCCATAAATTAGTAGTAATTAGAAATGCTATACTTTATATATATATATATATATATATATATATATATATATATATATACCTGCTCGACCAATGCTGGACAGAGACTTATTGACCAACTCTGGAGGTGACATAGACTGAGAGATTACTTGTACAATCAGGAAGGGTATGCTATACTAATACTTTATATTGCAAGCATATATTAATGTAATTCTTTATACTCTTCTCTAAGATATGTCAATGGATTATTTTGTATGTTTTTGTATGTCTATATTAATTTATATATATATATATATATATATAGAGAGAGAGAGAGAGAGAGAGAGAGAGAGAGAGAGATTTAATACAATATTTTATAAAGACAAAAAGTTATTGCTTCCAATTTCCTATTTTTTTTATTTTTTTATTTATTTATTAATTGATTTATTTATATATTAGATAAATGCACAACAAAGGGCACCTTGCAATGTGATATACCAATATGGGTATTTACATGTTGGTTTTTTTTTTTGTTTTTTTTTTTTGTAGTTTTGAAGCGGTGCATGTTACATCAGGTATCTCTTGACATTTGTTATGGTTGGTATCACATAGTATGTCACATATGCATTTGTTTGTCATAGTAATTGCATACAGGATTCGTCAAAACATTTTCCATTGTAAACAGCTACAGTGCGTGGCCTTACGTGGCCTTACGTGGCCCTACCTCGAGTAGGATGTCAGTTCGTTGAAACCGGTGCACCTTTTTTCTCGAATATATGTATCATAACACAACAAGTATAGTAGTAACATAATAATGTAACATAATGGGGGTAGAGAGGGGGAAGGTAAGGAGGGGGGAAGGAGGGGAATAGTCGACTTCTATGTGTGTGTTGTTATAGGAGTTAGTTCACGATTACACTCATGTTTATTACTGTTTGGGGGTGACTCGACTTTGTATGTATCCCACATCTCCCAGGCCGTTACCCAAATTTTTTTCCCAGGTCTCATTTTCCTGGCCATGGTTTCGTACCGTTTGGTTGATTCTATGATTTGGATGCATGCTGACAGTTGCGGGGTGTGTATCGACAACCAGTTCCTGCCTATTAGTTGTAGTGCCGCTATCAGGATATGGTACGTGAGATATTTAACAGATTTTACTATGTTGGGAGGGAACAGTTGTAGTAGGTATAGTTCAGGCTGAGGCGGCATGACTACCTTTGTAGTGGTTTTTATCAGTTTGGAGATTTGTGCCCAAAACCGTACAATTTTTGGGCATGACCACCAGATGTGGTATGTGGTTCCTGGTTGGTCCATGCATCTCCAGCATTTACCTGTGGATTGGGTGTTTATGTGTTTTAACTTGGTTGGGACGATGTGCCAACGATATAGTATCTTCCTGGATATTTCTACGTGTGAGGCACACATCGTTAAATTTTTATTAGCTGAGAATATGTGGAGCCACTGTGTGTCGGTTAGTTTCATATTTAGGTCTAGTTCCCAGGCTGCGATAAACAAGGGTTTTGTGAGATATGCCTTGCAGATGATTTCGTGGTATAATTGAGACATAGGTTTGGTTGGCGGTTTGGTTTGCAGACACATTTGTTCTGCTGTGGACAGTTGCATGGATTGTTCGGGTTGGGCCTTTGGGGGACGGTATTTATGGAACCATGATTTTATCTGCATGTGAGAAAAAAGTATTGTCTGCGGTACTTGATATTCGGTTTGTAGGCGCTCAAACGAGATCAGGTTGCCTTTATCGAGTAACTGGTGGAGGTATGTCACGCCATGGGAGGTCCACATTTTTGCATTAAAGTAGGGTATGAGTGTTGTGAGGGCCTGTAGCTTCATAGCCGGCGACGGGTGCGCTGACGGCCAGGATTTGGTTTGGTGTTTATCCCATATGGACAAGGATAACTTAGTTGTTGGTAGCATAGTTTTATATTTGGGTCTGTGGGAGTGTGGTAACCATGCTAGTGTGGTGATATTGTGTCCTTCTGTGTAAGTGGACTCAATGGCGAGCCATTCTGGCCGGGGATCTTGATGGAATGCTGTGATTAGTGGGCTGAGAATTGATGCCGAGTAATACGCGTTTAGGTGTGGGATGCCCAGACCCCCTTGCCTGAAGGGTTTGTGTAGCGCGGATGCCGCTACTCTCGCTTTTTTCTTGTTCCATATGAATGTGTTTAGGAGGGTCTGTGTTTCCCGGAGGAAAGTGTGTGGGAGTTGGATGTGTAACGTACGGAATAAGTACTGGAGTTTGGGTAAAAGTATCATTTTTGTCGCTGCAATTCGTCCTAGCCAGGAGACATATTTGCCTGTCCAACCCGTGATTTGACCTTTCAGTTTGTTCACTAGTTTGGTGTAGTTTGCCTGAAGCATGGCATGCGATGTGGCTGTAAATGCAACTCCTAAAAAAGTGAGATGGTCCGTTCGTCAGTCGTATGCGTGGGCCTTTTTTAATTCTTGCAAAGTGCGGGATGATATGTGCATACCCATTGCTTGCGTTTTGGAAATATTAAGTTTGTAGTATGAGCATGCACTGTAATCAGCCAGGATGTCGTGTAGATGCGGGAGTGATGTGTGTGGTGATTCTATGGATAGCATGATATCATCTGCGAACATTGTAAGTTTATGTTCCACGGGGCCTATTTGTATACCTTTGACATTGTGACTCATTCTTATATGTTGCGCTAATGGTTCCAAGATCAGGATGTACAGCAACGGGGATAGCGGGCATCCCTGGCGTGATCCGTTTGTAATACTAAATTTTTTTGATATAAATCCACTATTGGCTACATGAGCCGATGGTGTGAAGTATAGCGCTGTCAGTAGGGACATGAAGCTGGGAGGGAAACCGAATTTTGTTAGCGTAGCCTCAAGGAATCCCCAGTGCACCCTGTCAAACGCTTTCTCAGCATCCAACGAAAGGAACACACTGGGTCTCCCCGAGGCCCGCGTGCTTGACATCAGGTCTAGCAGTTTCCTAGTACCATCCGAGCCCTGCCTCTCCCTGACAAACCCTACTTGATTTGTGTGTATTACCGAAGGGATTATGGAAGCGAGTCTATTTGCATACATTTTCGCTAGTAACTTCATGTCAGTATTCAATAGAGAGATCGGTCTCAGGTTTTGGGGTTTGGTAGGTGGCTTCCCCGGCTTGGGCAACGTTGCAATGTGGGCTATCAGCATTTCTGAAGGCATATAGCTTGTCATTATGATGGCGTTAAACGTTTTTTCTATTTGCGGGGTTAAGGTAGATTTGAAACATTTGTAATAAATGTTCGTGAAGCTGTCTGGGCCTGGTGTTTTCCCCTGTGGTAGGGCGTCGATAGCTTTTTCTATCTCAGTGGCGGTGATCGGTTGTTGGATCATTGCCTGTTGAGCTGGGCTAAGTGAGGGGAGATAGGCCTGTGTTAGGAAGTTTTGTATTTCTTGAGTTGTGGGTTGATGTGTCTTAGTATCCTGTGCTAGATTGTAGAGTTTGTCGTAGAACTCTGCCATGGTGTCATTTATCTGCTGTGGGTTTGTAATTTTGGTGCCTGCAGGGTTAAATACATGCAGTATTTTTGACCGGGTTTGGTGTTGCCTTAATAGGGAAGCCAGTGCTTTCCCCGCTTTATTACCCTGAGAGTATTGCTTCAGTTTGAGTTTAGTCAGTGTATCTGATGTCCGTTGGAATAATATGTCGTTTATTGCTTTAGTAGTGCGGTATATTTCGTCCTGGCCTGCAGTAGACGGGGAAAGGAGGTGGGCATTTGTTTGGTCTCTGAGTTTTTTGAGAAGGGTGGTGTATTCATCTCGTGCTTTCCTTTTCAGGTATGCTGCCCGGCTAATGATTAGTCCCCGTATTACCGCCTTATGGGCGAGCCATACATTTTGGGGTTGTGTTTGCGGCGTGTAGTTTGTGTCAAAATATAGTTTTATTTCCTTTTCTAATGTATTTTTGAAGGAGTCATCAAACAGAAGGCTGTCATGCAATTTCCATGGGGAGGTTCCCCTGAAGGGAAACTTGTCTTGTAGTGTTAGGCGTACGGGTGCATGGTCTGACCATGTCAAGTCCCCTATTGTGCAGTCTATCATGGATGTGAGGAGATGTGCAGCTATGAGGATGTGATCAATGCGTGAGCTTGTTTTATGGGCTCTTGAGTGGTGTGTGTATTCACGTACGTTTGGATGTGTTGTGCGCCAGGAGTCATAGATATTGTATTCTAGCAGCAATTCCGTCATAGCTTTGCATTGGGGTTTGAGGGCGGCCTGCCTCCTGGTGTCACCAGGGACTGTCGTGTCTAAAGTTTGATCGAATATATGATTCAGGTCTCCACACAAAATTAAATTTTGCAATTGTGGGCTAGGTATTTTGGAAAGGACTTTGTGTAAGAAATTTCTTTGGTTAGTGTTCGGGCTGTACACTGAAGCAATCGTGTAATTAATGTCGTTTATCGTGCAGTGAATGATGACATATCTGCCTTGGGAATCTTTTTTGACTTGAAGTAGTTCGAACGAGAGTGATTTGTGGATGAGTATGGAGGGGCCTCTGGACTTGGAGGAATGTGTGGAGTGGTATTGCGTGGGATATTCTTGTTGTGCAAACTTCGGAACTTTGGTATGTGTAAAGTGGGTTTCTTGCACACAGAGGACGTCTATTTTGTCTTTCCTGGCCATGTCTATCAGGACACGCCGTTTGTGTGGGGTGTTCAAGCCGCACGCGTTAATAGTGTGTATTCTCAGGTTGTAGTATTTGTTTGTTTATTTGGAGTACTCTTGTGGATCTATTCTCAAAGAGATTAACGTACCTCGAGCAGGGATGGGACAACTTGGGTGTGATAAAGAGAGGGTTGGAAGGAGAGGAATATATACATGTTCCCTGTAGCAGGGAATTGGTGCGGTGGGTGCGCACCGTGGGGTACGGAAACATTTGTCTCCTGTGGTGTGGCGTGTGGGCTTGGTAGCCTTTGGGTTTGGACAGAACTTTTTTTTTTTTTTTTTGAATATGTGAGGACTGGGAAGGAAAACTTGGGTGTGGTTGCTGCATGAGTGGCTACTGTATTGTACAGCGCAATGCTAATCATTCGCAAGTGTATGTGTGATAGGACGAGCTGTTGAGGCTCTTATCGGCATTTGAAAGGGCACCTGCATCCGTGCCGTATTTCAGGCTTCTCCGCTTCACTCCTGATCCTAAACCTTATCCGAGGGGTCTATGGGTCACCTTTTCCCCAGGGCTGGTTGGTGATTGTGTGCAGTCACGAGGGTCCATCAACAGTGTCCCTTGTAATACCTTAACAATGGCTAGGGTTTGGTAAAGGGGTTTGCACAATTACAAAAAAAAGGCATAAGACGCATAACGAGACTCATAAAATGGCCATTGGTATGGGCCACGAGGTACCCCGCGCGTCCCCCGTCCCTCCCCCCCCTCGGAGGAGAACGACCGGGGGAAGGCGCCCGGGCCCACGCCGCCCACCCACCTGGGCTCGGCCAATATCACAGCGAAATCAGCTAGCACGTATCTTACTGGGTCCCCAACAATCCTGCAACTCCCCAATCTCCCAGCCATTACTGTCAATGTGGCAACGTGAGAGTTCACAGTTACTAATATGCCATCTCAGGGGAGGTCCATCTCCTGGCATGTGCCTATGTTCAGTGTTCAGTCAAGGAAGTATCCCCCCGTGGGTAAGTGGCTGAACTCTCCGGAGATGCCAAAATGTACACAAGTGAGAGTTCCGCTGGGCCCTTCCAATGTCAGTATGCCTGTGGGAAATAAGTGTGTAGTGCACAATACTTGCGTGTCCCTCATGCAGCTGTCAGCGTGGTTTAATGCCTGTCCGGCGCTTTCTGCCAGTCTAGGCGTAATCTGCCCAGTGGTGGAGCTTGCGCAGGTTCTAGTTGTGGGTTGATGCCCCACGACTTCAGCTGGTTGGCGCCATCTTCGGGGGTCAGGATGGCCTGGAGAGAGCCATTTCTGGTCACCAAGAGCTTCGTGGGATATCCCCACCTGTACCGCACTCCGTTGGTGCGAAGTGCCGCAGTAATGGGAGCGAAATCTTTCCTTCTTCGCAGGGTGATCGCTGAGATGTCTGGGAAGATTTGTACCGTGGCGTAATCGTCTGGAGGCTTGGGTTTACTCCTTCTGGCTCGGAGGGCGTGCTCTTTAATGTGGTAATAATGGGCATGTAACAGAACATCTCTGGGTGAGGAATCCGACAGGTGGCGTGGACGCGGCACCCGATGAACCCTGTCGAGCAACAGCATGTCGGACGGGATCTCGGGCGCGTAAGCACTAAGCAGGCCTCGCACATATGCTTGTAGATCCGCCGGGAGCACTGTCTCAGGTACCCCCCGCAGTCGCAGGTTGTTTCGCCGAGACCTGTCCTCCATGTCCGCCAGTTTCATTTCGGTGAGTAGTAGTTTGTCTTCCAATCTCTCCACGTGTGTTGTGAGATTGTTGTGGGCAGCCGCCATTTCGTCCATTTGTGTTTCCATGTGCGACGTTCTCTTGCCTATTTCTTGGACCCGATCAGCTTTCGGGACAAGGCTTCCAATGCTTGTGTTAGGTGGCTTTTTGTCAGGGCATCCCCTGGTTCAGGTATGCTTTGCGGGGCACTTTCATCGTCGGTACCCTCGTCGCCATCTTGGGTAGACGGTAGTAGGCCCGAGTGTGATAGATGAGGTTTCTGTTGAAAGAAATTAAATTTTTCAGCTTTTGTCGAGTTCTTCTTGCTTTTGTGTTGCGACATCTTCAGCCCGTTTGCCGGATCTGAGGATTATGCGTCCATCTTGTCCGGCAGTCGGCCACGCCCCCCCAATTTCCTATTTTTAGTCCTGCTAAATTCTATGCTTTAAGACATTATAGTGATAAATAGGGGTACTAATGGTTACAGTACGGTTTATGGGTAAACTGACCTGGCGGAGAGGCTGCGCCCAAGGACATAACTAGCAATCACAGGGCCCAGTGCAAGAATCAAAGAAGGGCCTCCATACACTCTCACTGGTACACATACACTGGCTCACTGACAGTCAGAGGTGGCTCTTGACTTTATGAGGCCTTAGGCAAAACTCAAACATGAGGCCCCACTACCACCCAAAGTGAAAAAATAATAGGGTTGCTGTGGCGAAAGCTGCCTCGCCACTGGACATTGGAGAGGCCTGGCTGCCCGCCTCCTACCTGCTGACTATGGCCCCTTGTGAATTTGTACTTTTGAATGCAATATTTGGGCATGTGGTATTTTATATTGCTGCTACTGGCCCTTTAAGGGCCATCCGGGGACATATTATGACTGTTAGGAACAATGCCCTTTAAGACTGTGTAGCAGCTTGCATTCGGGCTGTCTTTAATATTATGTGTTCGGTAAACAGTGTTATGTGTATGCATAATTGTTCGGTAGAATCACTCCATTCATTATATTGAGTGAAACTACCAGACCACCCTGGAGTAAGTGTGCCTCCATTGGCTAATTGGCTATCTATGTAATGTGTTCTTTGTCCTCTGGGTGGCCGCCATTTGGGAAACGAACACGTGGCGGCGGCCATCTTAAACTCCCGAACAGCAGTGTTTTGCCGTCGAGTGTCTGGAACTAAAATCGGACACTTGACTAGACAAACACCGCTGAGACCTCCAGACTTCCATGAATTCGTGTGGAAACTACCGAATGACCCGCCGTTCGGTAGAAAGAACCCCATGAACAAGGGAATTTGTTTAAACCCTCCCCAGGTTCTGTAACCCAGGCAATTTGTGTGTTTCATTCCCTTTTCTGTGACCGACTGCAGGGCCAAAATACGTGGAACTATTTTCGGATACTTTTGCCATGCAGTCGGTCAAAACTTTAACCCTCCATAATTCCCGAACCCCTGGTCCGATCTGGGTGATTTTTGGATATGTGTCTCACCCAGATCAGGGCTACCAGTGGATGTAACATTTAAAGGGGTATCCCTATGTTTAGGGGTACATCCAGTATCCCAGGGAATTTGTGTCTGGACTAATGGGATTATGTGTCACACTAAGGGGAGGAGATGTGTGGGAGGTAACTGGTACATTATTGGCTGGGGTACTAATTGTTGTGGATCCCTTCCTTGCATGGGAGAATGCCTTAAAAGGAGGTTGTGTGAATAAATCTTCAGATTCTGCTTAACCCTCAAAACGAAGTGTTGTCTCGTTATTGGGGGAATTGGATTGTATGCTGACTGCCAGGAGTGTAACCCTTTCGTATGGTTTTCCTGTTCGGATATTTCCAGTGTTAATGTGTTTCCAGTTCGGGAGATCGGTGCTTACAGTAGCTGCAGTGGCGGATCCAGGGGGGGCAACGGGGCAATTGCCCCCCCCCGAGAAATCCGACGGTCTCCCTCCCCTGCCAGCACATGCAGGCGCTAGCCCTGCAATGTGCCTGCGGACCGGAGGGGAGATCAGAGATCTCCCTCCCCGGTCCGCAGACACTGTGCTGACAGCCGGCAGGGGAGGGAGAGGGAGGACCCGGGAGCTCAGGCTGCAGCTCCTCCGGGTCCTCCTCTCGCGAGATTTGGAGCGTCGCCGCGGTTACCATGGCAATGCTCCAAATCTCGCGAGAGTGAACTCTAGCCCGGGAGCTACGGGCTAGAGTTCACTCTCCACACTGGACCACCAATGAATCCCCCACCGGACCACCAGGGAAATGTCCCCCCTACCCCCAGTAAAGGTAAGAAGGGAGGGGGGACATAGGATATTTATTTAGTTTAATTAAATAAAATAATATATATTATAAAAAAAAAAAGCCACCCTACCCTGATCACACACACATACATTGCCCCCAATACACACAAACTGCCCCCCATTCACACAAACTGCCCCCTATACACACAAGCACCCCCCATTCACTAGAGCTTGCCCCCTATTTACCAAACTGCCTTATACTTCAACTACCCCCCCATTCCACACAAACTGCCCCCTATATACACACAAACTGCCCCCATTCACAAGCTGCCCTTATATACACAAACTGCTGCCCCCATTCACACAAACTGCTCCTATACACACAAACTGCCCCCCATTCCTGGCTTGCCCCCCATTCACACACAAACTGCCCCCTATACACACAAACTGCCCCCATTCACAAACTTTGCCCCATACACACACACACTGCCCCCATATACACACACTGCCCCATACACAAACTGCCCCTATACACACACTGCTCCCATACACACACTTCCTACATACACACACACTGCCCCCCTTACACCCGCACTGCCCCTATACACACACACTACCCCCATATACACACA